ACATCGTTACAGGACAAAAAGAATATGCAGATATCCCGAATGCAGTGCAACCATGTTTAGAGAACAGTAATAAAGTCCTGAAGTGTTTCCAAGATCATCCCAAGGAGACTCTGAAATGTTCAAATTTGGTGGAAGAGTTTTCAAATTGTGTCTGGAATGTGCATACACGCATGATCGAAACGCGTTCGTAATATATTCTATTTGTGCATCTCATGGATCATGACATCTTCAAAACTGGACATTTAGTTGACAAATAAATTGTATATCAAACTGTAATGCCTAAAATGCTTGTCTCAGCAGAATTGTTGCTAATAAAAATATAATATAGTATAAAGCAAAGAATACATGAGGAGAAATGTAAAAAATAAACGAATATATATTGTGATTTATAACAAAATGAGATGGTTGTTACATGTATGAGATAAATATTGTTGAGCATTAAACAAAAAGTATATTTCTTTCATTAATATTTATCCAAATTTAATCAGCAATACAGTTTCATAATGCCATGTGACACAAAATTTTTGTTTACTAGAATAACAATTTGGTAACTATGCAGGAAAGTGTATATTATGAAGACTAACCTAAACAACTTATTTTGAGGTTCTCTCTCTCTCTCTCTCTCTCTCTATATCTATATATATATATATAGTTCTATTTATAGATCAAAAATATATACAGTATAACTGAGGGTGCACAACCCAAATAAAGGCCTACAGCAGCATAGCATTTATATAATATGTATATATAGTACATATAATTTTATATAAATTAATAAATATAAAATGAAGAAACTTTGCAAATGCAAGTCATTGGAAGTACATTTGTGATATATTTTCTAAAACATGTATGTAAAATATATATATATATATCCTATTTATACATTATAATACTTGCCGCGAATGTATATAGAGTTCAGTAATCAAATTATTTTCGTGCAGTATAAAAAATGATATCCATTAATGATACATCTGCCATCAAGAGACCTGTTCTTTTTAGCTGAATTTCTTACACGTTTCATCTTTCTTTTTTCTTTTCACGTTCGAGAAGAAAAAAGAAAGGATGATCTATGCAAATTCAGTCAAAAAGAACAGACTCAAATTTATACCACTCCTCCAAAAAGAAATACAAAGCAACTATAATGAAAACTTTAATTAATTTATGAAATTCTTAGAATTACATTATCAATTATCTCTAAAAAATTAAACGGTAATATATTATGAATTAAGACAGGTTGCAAGCCTTATACACAAGCAGTGCATAAAATTGGAAAGAGGATGTACAATATATTCCGAGGCACATTACACCACCACACAATAGTAAGAATATTTGCATACAATTTCTTAACGAAAGTATATATGAATGTGTTTTAATGTCAAGTGAGTATGATTCTTGCTTAAATTTACAATACAAATTATATAGTTATAATATAACGTAACAAAATTTTAGGATTCACGATTAAATGATGGTTTAAAAAACGAAGAAAAAGAAAAACAAGTAAACCTTAATTATTTAATCGGTTTTCTTATCACCATCCGATCGCGTAAGTTTCATATAATCCCTAGTCAAACGATCGTATTCCTTCGTGACTGATTCCGCCTGTGATAAAATCACTTCTTTATCCATCTTTTCTTTAATCAAATTACTCTCGAGCTCCTGATTCTTCGCTTGCAACTCCTTAATTTGAGTTTTCAATTCCGAGACAGCTTTGTCGTGTGCCTCGTTGGAATCATTCTGCGCACTTTCCCCAATTGTTCTCTGGGACAACAAGCTCCTGGCTGTGGTTGTCGCCGACTGAGCCTGCCGCATGGCAGCCTCGTGTTGCGCGAGTAGAGAAGCTTGAGCAGATATCAGGATGATAAGACGACGTATTACCAAGCTCAGAAACAGCGCAAAGCCGGATATGTAGAAATTCCTTTGTGCGCGAAACAATCTCATGTTTTCTGGAAAGAGTATATTAATGTAAGCGTCAAAATAGTGACATAATTTGTGGCGCGCGCCACATCATGTAATAAAAAGGAACATTGTGAGATACAAAAGTGTCAAGGGTGATTCTCAAGTATTCCAAGATTAAAAAAATCACCTCTTCAAAATTTTCAGAATGCGTAAAAATCACTATGTATAATCTACCTTGCATTTCAACATTCAACTGATGATGTTCTGGGTGATCTAAGCTCGTGGAATATTTCCGCATCTCTCGTATGGCATCCAGCAGAAAGAGAACTAGAACACCCAGCAAGACCACAAAATAAATAGAAGCCTGATTATTTAAGCTTTGCAAAAATCGAGATTTGAAGAACTTTTGCCATCTAGTCGGCGAGGCTACCGGAAGCACTAGGAGGAGAACGATCGCAACTTCAATATAGAGGAAACCAGCTATGAGCGTCCACTGCAAACTCATGTTTGCCTCTTATTCTACCTCTGTGTTTAGATACCTAAAAAAAATGATAGAATATGCATGTCAATGTAATCTTCATATCTCAACATAAATACATGAAAAATGTATGAATATCAAGTATTTATTGGAATTCTTTGTTGTCAACTGTCGGAATCTTATTTTTTTCTGACAAATAAAGCACTGCGCTTCCTAGCATCTACAAAATGCCTGTGCAACAGGATACTTTAATCTCAATAAAAACAGGCATAAAATAGAGATAGCTTTACCAACACACAAGATTAACTTTAAACTTGATTTAGCTTATCATCTTCTTCCAAGTTTTAAGAACTAGAATAATTTTTCACCAATATAGATTAATTTCATGTCAGTTCAACTTATTTTTGTATTCTTATATTTTTAAGAATTGAAAAATGTAGTTTTCAAAGTTTTTTTTTTTTTCAAATTATGGCAAGAAAATTGAACGATTTTCTTAACGAAAAGAAACAAATATGTCAGATTTTACAAGCACATAAGCATTTTTCTACCCTTAAGAAAGGAACTGAGAAAATTCATGGAAAAAGTAGAAAGAACCGGATTTTTTTGGAAATTTTAAACTTATTTATAAAAAGGATGAAAAGTAAGTTAAATTAAAATTAGCTAATCTACATTGGTAGAATGGTTATCTCTTCATCTTTTTCTACTTGTAAGAATTAGAAAAAGATGGAAAATAAATTGGACTGAAATTAAATTTAATCTGTAAACAAGCATTAGTTGAATTTCTTGTACTATTCTTTTCTATTCTAAAGCAGAGAAGAAAGATAAACTGTGCAAGTTTAAGAGAAAAAAAAACTGGAGAAAAAAAAACAGACTGATAATATCATTTCGCGCTGCGACGCAATTATTAAATTAATTTCTCGAGGAATGCATGCAAGGACAATTAACAGGATGATACTTAAAAAGTGATTTTGAATCAGATTATGATCAATCATGACGCAACATCACTGTGATGAAATGACACGATCAGAGACAGGATTTGTGGAAATGTCGTCGATCGGCCTGCTGACCACTTTCAAAGCCGCATCTGTCACGTTTCGGATAAGTACTTGGTAGACACGATCCGCTCGCAAAAATAAAGTACGTCGTAGGTAAAACGAAACTCAACAATTCGGAGATTGGAGTCGTCGGCTCTCTGGCACGCCTCTAAACTTAACACATACATACAAAGATGTATCTGATATATTTTGAATAGCCATTTAATGAATGAATCCTCAACGTATTTATAAGCTAGCGATTCATTTGCCCGGGTGACCGGTGGCGAATTTCACTTGTCAGTGAAATTCACCAGGATTTTTCATTCCTTACGTGGTTCCCCTGTGAAGACAAGTGCAACGGCAAGAGGATTGGAACACGTCGGCCTCGGGCGATTTATGTACGATGTGCAAGGTGTATACGAGTAGATTGTAGACTCAAAGTGCGAACGTCTCGTCAGTCGTTGGTAGTTTTATAAATAAACCGTACCTCGTGACGTCACCCGGTGCGGAGTCCTCGCAAAATATATGATTTTTCTGCATCGCTTCATTCGCATCTCTGTTCTCTCTGTTTCTCTTCCTCCTTCTGTATCCCTCTTCTCTTTCTCTCCGTCACAATATGCACAACAGTCGACAAATGCTTTAAAGCGTTTTTGGATTGGTCAATTTGTAAAATTCTTTCGTCTGATTGGTTTGGTTCCATCAAACGATTCAAAGCACTTTCTAGGATGCATTCCTTTTCACGCGTGATGCGCATGATACATCATTTATCTTTGTTGTTCACCGAATGTTAAACAAGAAATAAATGATACATTATGAGCCGGTCTCACCAACTCCGATTAATTCAATCGATTGATTGTTACATTGGAACCAATTGCATTTGCTGTTCAGCAGAATTGACTAATCACAATTGACACTTAATCGACCGATTATGTCAATCAGAGTTGGTAAAACCGGCCCTTAGACTGTGGCCAAAGTCTCGCAACAAATGCTTTGAAGCATTTAATGGATCAATTAGAAGAAAAAATTTTATAAACTGTACAATTAAACACGTTGACCTTAGTGAGACTTTGGCTTAGTTTACATCGTGCACTTGATACGGATACTAAATAGTAATTTTCTATTGAATTATCTTAATTTCGGCGATACGTGTAAATATATACACGAGATGTATATTTAATTAATTATTTTAATGCATATTGTATCAATTTAGTTCAACATTCTTTGAATTCTTTTAATTTTTAACATCATTGTGAAATTAAAATAACGTAATAAAAAGTTACTAGTTAGTTTGTTACGATGTAAAGTCGGCCTTTAGATGTGGTCCACTTGACGCTACAAATTGTTGCGTTCAGCAGAGAAAGTAGCTTTGCAACTGTTGTAAAATTCTTCAATATGATTGGTCTTGTCCTTAGTTTCTCATTGGATCTAAATTTATAAACCAATTATATTTAAAAATTTTACAACAGTTTTAAGCCGGAATCAGACTACGCATTGAAGAATGAGATTGAAGATTGAAGTTTGATCAATCAGAATAAAAGAAGTGTCACGTCCGCAGTATTATTTTTAAAACTTGTCCAAGTCAAACTTGGACAAATCATGAACATTTTTCATCACTTATAGATTGGCGCGGATCACCAGAACCATATCTGACTGACGCCTCCCCACCACATGCGCCCTAACAGGGCAACGACGGAAGGGGATTCCTCTCTTCTTCTAAAAGATGCCGTCGGAACACAGTATATACAGTAGCGCAACTCTCCCGATTTTGAGCGGCCAAAATGGAGTGCGCATGCGCGAAATAAGCAAGTTGCCCCGTCTCTTTTCCTCTTTCTTTATTGCTCTCTTTCTATTTAAATAACTGTTCCAATGTTTCATTTAAAGAGCTAAGAGCAGAAGTTTAAAGGGAAATATAACCTACATTGTCCATTTGGTAGTGTTGTGTGAAAAACCTCAAGAGACTAGTCTCGTGAAAAAGTGAAGTGAAGTGAAAAAGTGAACGAAAATAAAGAAGAAAACCGAGCAAGAAAGTTTTCTTTTTGAAAGAATAGTTAACTTATATAATTATATAGGTTAGCTCTTCTCTTGGAAGAGCACTTTGATCTTAGCTCTCTGTTTCAGGTGCTGTGTCAATTCCAAAAAATTGTGAAAAAAAAAGAACAATATATAATGATTATTCATCATTCATCAGATTATTTCATTGTAATAGTAGGTTTATTCGCGTTGCATACTCTAATATGCTCCTATAACAGCTCTTACTCACTTCAACGCATTTGTTGGAGTGCGACGCGAATAAACCTACTCTAGTGAGTTTTGACAGAGCGAAAAATGGATGAAAAGAGAAAGAAATTTAGGTGATAACCATGGCAACCTAGGTAACTTGCTTATTTCGCGCATGCGCACTCTATTTTAGTCACGCTCACATCAAAGGTGCCGACAGGGAGTTGCGTTACTGTATGTAACATACTGTGCTCGGGGCATTAGTAACAGATAACAATCAGTAACAAGCAGTAATGGAGTTAGCGTCTTAGCGTTTGGGTGGAAATTTTTTAAGTCCTCTTCCGTCGGTGAATCTTTGCCTCAGTTTTGCGTGCCGCGTATAAATGTAATCGTTTCAATTTCTTTTAAACTAAATTTAATTCAAAGTCTAAATCTAAGTAATGCTAAATCTAATTCAAATTCTAAATCTAAGTACTTCTAAATTTAATTTAAATTCTAAATCTAAGTAATTCTAAATTTAATTCAAATTCTAAATTCAAGTAATTCTAAATTCAATTCTAAATCTAAGTAATTCTAAATTTAAGTAATTCTACATTTAAGTGATTCTAAGTCTAAGTGATTTTGTGAATTAAAGTTAATAAACATTTTAGCTAAATCTGAGTGAACTTTCTCAACAAATTCTTTCTTAACTACCTTCCCGTACTTAATTCGTATTAATGACGACCTAATTAGCGAACTTAGACTATTATTCACGCGAGAACTACGAATCGATAAGGACGAACCCGACGCCAAGTTCAGGACAGTGGAAAGTCTGAGGGTCACGCACACCGACCAACCACTGACGGAGACCTCATCGTAAAGGTAGAATATTTTTTTTTCATCACGTTGTGGTCACCGCGGACCGCAAATCCTGTTTGCGTGTAGTATGTGCTTGGTGCACCTGCGTTCGCGCCCGCCTATCAGCACTCATTTGTTGGAAACTAACCCTTACACCACGTGGATACATAATGCATGTTGCGTATCTTCATTATTCTTTCGTCAAATAAAAGACGACTAAATGTCTAGAGTGCTACATCTCTTTACCCGTCGATG